ACGAGTTACCAACGCTCCACCTCGTTCAAGATGGGCTCGGCAAACCACCCCATCGCCACTGCCTCGACCAACCACTCCCACGATGTCATCCGGATGACAGCTCGGTACGAGAGGAGTGGCCGACGAGACGCAAATCACATCGACGCCATGCCGCCCGAAACAAGACAAGGCAGGAGTTACCGGCCACTATGCGCAGCACTGTGCCCACGACTAAATGTCCATACCGCACTGTGCTACCTAACTCTAACTACTCCGAGGACAACGCGGCATGGGGAGTTAAGCTCGGATCCCTGCAGCCTCGGAATTAGTGTGCAGGGTCAGCCGCTCCACCCACGCCTCGATAATTTACCTCAGGGTCTCAACAACCTTGGGGTTCACACCTGCCGAGCCCCCCCACGATGGCTCGGCCTCGGCACCGGCTAAGCCTCCGCACTTCGTGTGGACAACACACTACGACGGGCATGTCGCTCGTCAGGCCCTACATCAAGCTATTATGTCGCACAGGATCGGATGTGACCGGTGCGCTGCTCTGGCCAGGGGTAGAACCACTCCATCAACTATTCCGCCACAGCAATAGGCTACAGGTCTCGGACAGGCCGCCTCTGTTCACACAACGCCACGAAACTAGCGCATGTATCACCCCCATCCCCCCTTCTACTATAAAAGGGAGGGACGGGGGAGACGGGCAGGAAGGGGAAGACACTTAGGCACATACGAACTCACGAGGTAGGCGAACATAGGCTGTAGCACCCACACTTAGATCAATGTCTCGAGCAATTCATCCCGTTCATCATAGAGACTTGGGGCTAGCTCCCTCTCTCGCCCTGCTTGTAACCCCCTACTACGAGCACTTCGGTGCAAGGAATATAAGATCGATCTCCTAGACTGGACGTAGGGCACTGATTGCCTGAACCAGTATAAACCTTGTGTCTCTTTGCATCACCATCCGGGATTAGGGGCACGCAGTACAAATTTACTAGTTGGTTGAGGACCCCCTGGTCCGAAACACCAACACTATGGATGATAGATCAATCAATCAATAATTCAATATACTCCCATGTATCGAACACATATGCATGCTATGGCACGAGTGCATTATCTACTCATTTAGGCAGACCTGGCCACCTGGGGGCCAATAGTTCCATATATGGTGTACAACCGTACCAAGAGGATCTGTCCATCCGTCGCTCGGGTGTTTTGGCTCCCGAGAACACTTGATTTTTTTTCTTCATCATATTCTTCCTCCCCCCCCCCGACGCGCCGCCGCCGCTCGTCGTGGAGCAGTAGGGCCTCGCCGGAGCTCCGCGGCCACGGCCATGGTGCTCCGGTGAGACCTTACGACACTCGCGGCGACCTCCTTCCCCTCATCCCGCCACTTTCATGGCCATGGAAGCCCCCGCCTCGACCTAGCCCGACCGCCTCCTATGCCGCCAGCATCCTAACAGCCGCCCTTCCGTTGTTCCAACCGCTTGGCTGACCAACCTCCTCCGAGCTCCTACTAAGTTTGTCAGAGTTGGAGAAGAAGAGAGGGAGAGGAAAAGAAGAGAAGAAACAAAATCGAGTGTTGAAACACTCGTAGTGTATAGCATTTTCTGTGCTAGAATATACTTCAATGGGCACCACTGAAAGCACCGCTGAAAGCCTGAAACCCTTGGTCCGCGTGAGCAGAGCAGCAGCCAAAGCGGCCTTCGTTCAACACTTCATCCTGATTCCCGCAACAGCCAGCTGATCCTCCCAAAAGACCAAACCACCACATCCCAGAACGAAACTCCGCCGCGTACCGGAAGCCCTAAGGCTATCTCCAACAGCACACACACAAACTAGAGACCCATTCCATGATTTAGGTCACACACAATAAAAGAGTCACGCATCCAGAACATGTATTCTCCAACAGCCTATGCAAAGCCCTTGCCAAGCACTGCCCGCTCCTCGGAACGCAGAACGCTGCCCAGCCAAGCACCCCCCGCTCCTCGCTGCACCGGCCGTGGACCCGCCTCGCTACGCAGGTTGCTCCTCGCCACGGTCCCCACCCAAAACTTACTGTTGGATATCTATACCCGGGTATTCGAGCCAAAGGATTAATGAGCGTCACGTCGGCTCATCCGATGGTTAAGGACGCAACTACGGCCTCGTCCAACCCCTAGGGGCCGGGCCACGCCTCGTCTGACTCCGAGGATGAGGTTTCCGCCTCGTATGACCCCAAGGCATGGGCTCCGATTCGGAGGACGAGGTTTCCACCTCGTCCTATCCCAAGGCGTGGGCTCCGACTCCTTTGACCCCAGGGTGCGGGCTCCGACTCGTTCGGTCCCACGGGGAGGGCTCCGCCTCGTCCAAACCCCGAGGGTCAGATTCCGTCTCGCTCAGCCCCAAGGGCGAGATTTCCGCCTCACCTATTTCCTTGGGGTCGGATTTGCTACCGGACAAAAGCAGTGGCTCCAGGGTGGGCCCTGAACCGCTTCAACCACTACGGCGTGGAGGCGCACGGCCGGGAGCACGTCTCGAGCGCGTTCTGATGCGACTGGCTGTCGCATCAGGCCATGCCGGGAGACTCACGTCGCCCACCACGTCAATAGGCCAGCACTGTGCTGCCAACTCCCTGCCTGACCACCGTCCAACGTCAGTCGATCGGTGTCAGTTGACTAGCACTGTACCACCAGCCCCCCCGTATGGCCTCTGTCAGGGGACCCTTTGACCATTCTGTCCGCTCGAATGGGATGGAAGACAAGAACGGCACACGATGCCCGCACTTATGTTGTAGCAACCAACAGGACCCGGTGCGACGCCGCTGCCACCACGATCTACAAGGTCAGCAGGACCCAAGCGAAGAGGAGGACGGCACACCCCCAGGAGCCTTATTTCTCTTTCTTTTTTCCCTCTTCCCTTCTCTCGGTCTCTGGTATCATGTTCTCTCCCCTTGGTCTATAAAAGGGGAGGCAAGGCATCGTTCAGAGTGAGAGATCGATCGACCGATAGTTCGAGCAGTAGAAGCATCGAGCAATCGAACCACAGAGACTTGGGAGCTCTTTGCTCTCTCGCCAGTTTGTAACCTCCTACTACAAACTTAGTGTTGGTAACATGAGCATCCCGAAACTGGACGTAGGGACATTCGGCCCGAACTAGTATAATCCCCGTGTCCTTTTAGCACACCATCCAGGTCAAACGCGCAATATACAAATTTGAACAATTGTCAAGAGGCATTTGAACGTGCTGGCAACCTATGGGCCGAGGTAGCGAAATTGACTGGTCCAGACCAAGAGATGGAGAAACGTGATAAAGAAAGGCTTGTGAAGCTTCGAACATTTGGAAACACTAGGCAGGCAGGTGCGCTACGCCGCGCCCGTATTGGCTGCACAGGCCTATAGCTGTTTGTGCTTTGTGAAGTCTGAAGTGATACTCTTGCATCTCTAGGGCAAGGTAAACAACAACGACGGGATAGTATTCATTAATTTAGATATGTACAACAGAGTGAAGCACTAGTCTATAGAGACTCAAATATACATTAGTAATTCGTTATGGCTACATAAATGTACGTGCTTTCTGGGAAAAAACAAAAACAGTTTGCAAATATTCGAAATGGTTACAAAAAAGTACAGATGCTTGGTATGTTGTGTGGATTGTAAGAAAACAATAGCAGCTGGACCCTCGTCTCCAAATTAGTTCAGCAAGAATGAAGCCACTGTAGCTGCATGACCTTTGTGCTCTCCGAATGTTCTCCCTGCAATCTCTTCGTCCAACTGTATTTTAGATACACTTGTGAATAGGCTTGTAAAGCAATTAAAATTGTTGGTCAATGAAAATTTGGGATGAGCATTTCAAGCCAATTAGAAATAATTTCAACATCAGTAAGGTTGCCACTGACAACAGAGATAATCTAAACATCAGTGGGGATGATCTCAAAATAGGGCATAATACTCTTTGAATGATAGAACCAAGAGTGACGCCTTCTGTAAATTAGAGGCATTTCATTCTTTCTCCTATAACTGATGGACTGAGCCTCAACTGACAGAATTAAAGTACATACGATTACTCACCTACAAGTATTCAGAGTTGATCTCACTGCTACTGAATATGAATCTCTGTTGAACAGGGAGAGGTCGTAGTTAGGAGGGAAGCAACATAGGGGTCAACACGGACTCACCAATTATGCTCATATAGAAGAATATAATAGCATTAACAAACAAAAACATGCAGTACCTTGAGAAGGAAATTTTCTTGTTGAAAGAGACTTATCAAGTCTGTTGTGCCATGTGCACAAGGTAAACAAAGATATGGTGCAAAAAACTGAACTACAAAAAAATGAAGGTCAGAACAAAGCTAATAAGAATATATATGGTGTGTGAAAGTAGCGCTACTCACGCATATTTGGTGTGTGAAAGTACACAAAGGTATTGTGACACAGTATAACTTGAAAACAAAAATGAACTTTTGCCATAAATTAGTCATTTCATTGTTAGAAAAATTATCCTAGATACAATCGACGCAAGAAAAAGAGTGTAAGGGACTGTTTGGATCCTATCAATTGAAACCAATGTCTAAAGAATGTTTTCCATTTCATTATTAGATTCCTAATTTCTCTCAATTCCTTGGAAGCAAACAGACCTTAAGTAGTAATATTTGAAGAACATCTCTCTCCTTGGCATGCAATCTCTATTGGGCGGAATACCAATTACAGACATGCAGGAAACATAATCAAGGATGCATAGAATGCAGATTCAATTAACATCCTAAGGTAACTGGTTGGCAATTCCAAAGCTAAACTCAAAGGATGCACTGAAAATCCATTCACTTAAAGAACGATGGTAAGGTATGACAGCGAGCGATAAAACGAATGGAATAGTAGTAGAGTACATGTTGTCCAGAATGGCAGGTCAGTGTCATGTGCGATCAACACGCATTACAACACCCTTTCCACAATCTGAAAAGGAAATGACCTGAAATCAAAGGGGAAAAACATCTCAGTTGAGATTGGATCAGTCATGAAATAGCAATTGTATGAAGACATGGGACTAATATACAAAGCAGGTTGTTTGTCCCAACTTCACAGGTAAATGCAAATAATATTGCTTTGCGCTGTAACTATTTGTAAATATCAAGAACATGGAGGCTGGCATAAGAAACATTAAGAACCAAAGGTCACACTGAGTCTGTTTCATATAAATTGTAATCTGCACAAAGAAAGGAAAAGACAGTAAATGTTATTGGGTACATAAAATTTTCGGTTAACAGAAGCAAAGTTATAAGACATAACTTCAGTGTTACCTAATAAGAGGCTGGCAAGTGGCAACAACAAAGAACAATTCATTGCCCTCACCAATTAGTTTGTATGAACTCTGCAAATACCTATTCTATCATATTTTGGCAATATGATTTAGCTAGCTATTGCCCAATGTATATGAAAGGAAAAATGATGTAAAGTCATTAAGGTGATAAACTAATCTATCATCTATTATACTCAATAGAAATTGAACGCTATTTACAAACTCTCAATCTCTAAACATTTGTCACTAAAAATCTCACAGTCAGAATCTAAAAATGGCAGGCAACACAGGGAGCAAGACGACAAATGCCGACATAGATGTGAGATCTCTGAATGTTTTGTAGATTGGGGGGGTTGGGGGGGGATCAAACAGGAAGAGGAATACATCTGAAAGAGTACTTCGTATAGACTTATCTTAGACAAGTTTCATCTAAATACTCTACACTGCTACAATGGTGCAAATGAAATCTAGATAATATACAAAATAGCTAAATATATACAAAAGAAATCACATATGCTTTCACCTGTCAGCCCTTAATAGGATATTTCTTTGTCAATTAACAGGCAGGGTATCCTAGGTGCAGCAAAACATCAGGAAAGCACCATAGATCAGAGAAAGCACAATAATTGATGAGGCATAAAACTTTCATATGGTAAAGCAAATATACGAACTTGAGAGATGTAGATTTCTCAGATAAACCACAATAGGTATGTGAATATAATTAGTTCCCGTCAAAGTAACCAGTGCACAATTTAAGTAACGAATTTGGAGTTTATGCCTGGTAGAAGTTGTACAGAACAGGGAGGGGACCGGAGCAACCTTTGTGCGTCCTGGTAGCTGAACGCCTGAACAGCCTGATTTCGCCCATTCTTGCAAGCAACAGCACGTCGACACAAATCTGAAAGGAGGGAAGGAATGAGGTGATCGCTTCGTTGTTACCTCTCGGCTAGGCTAGATGATGGGCTTGTATGCGAGGCAGCGGGGCTGGAGGCAAGTTACGGGCTGGGGAAGGGGAGCGACCTCATCGAGGGGGCCAGCCCGGAAAGGTGAGTAGAAGACTTGCGGCAATATGAACCCGCACCCGTGGGTGGCACCGTCGAAGCTACCCCAATCCTGTTGTGGTGGGCAACCTTATCCCAATCCTGCTGCGTTCGGCGACCACATTGAGAAGAAAACTGCTGGGAAACGAACAGAGAAGCCGAAGAATTGAATATTACTCACCTCGTGGAGAGCAGATGCCCCGCGGATCGGCGGCGAATCCTCGCTTGCTGGCATGGATCCGAGCCCTTAGCCAGCCGGCAGAATCCGCACCTCCGAGCGTCGCCAGCCCCTTAGCCACGGATGTAGCCATCGAGCGTCGAGCGGCAAGGCGTAGTGGTGAGGCGGGAGGAGCTGTGGTCACCGGGGACCTTGCACCGCCTGTGGGGAAGAACGCGAGGAGGCGGCGACGGAGAGTCGGCCGGGCGCGGCATCTGCGCAGACTGTAGCTTGGGGAGAGGCGGCAACGGCGAGTCGGCTGGCGTGACATCTGCGCGCATTGCGGCTGGGGCAGAGGAAGAAGAAGAGGACGGAGACGGAGGGGGCGAGGCGCGATTGAATTTTTCTATCACGGGAGCTTAGGGCCGAGGGGAGAGGAAGAGGATGAAGCGCTCTCGTTACGCGGAAGCTAGGCGCTATATATTATTAACTGGCCCAATTTAACGAAGAGAGAGCGAATCGATGATCACACACGCACGAGCCCACGTGGCTGCGCACGATTCGTCAACAGGAGCAAAACAGTAATCAGAGCGCTCTCGTAACGCGGATTCCAGGAGCTATATGGAGTAGTATATTCGCCTTATCGGCGAGCTGCTGAAGCAAAAATGGTGCGTTCCGCTGGTAAAGAATTCAGCCGGTTTTCACTGTTTGAGGCTGAATTTTACTGTTCATTCTCTCACAAATTCCTCCAGATTCCTCCAAATTCCTCAAAGCGAACAAGCCCAGAGAAGATAGTACATCACATTGTTCAGGTACTTACATATTTGATCCTTTGTACTCTTCAGCTGGGTAGTTATAGCTGGGTCTGAAGTGATCCATTTCCCCCAATCCATCTGTGGGAATAGACTTCTAGACTGGAACACCTTTCTCCACATACATTGTGTTTTATCACTGTCAAATATTTTCTAATTCATTTGCTGTAAGTAGGAGTTGCTGGGTTCTGATAGCAATTCTTGCCCTGCTGAGGAAAATGTCGAGGCCATCTGTCAGTTTTTCAACACAATTGGCAAACAGTTGGATGAGAACCCAAAGTCTCGTCGATTTAACGATGTCTACTTCAACCGTCTAAAGGAGCTTACAACTAATACTCAATTGGCACCGCGTTTGAGGTTCATGGCACGAGATGTCCTTGATCTCCGTTCAAACAACTGGGTGCCTCGACGTGAGGAGGTAAATGTCTCAGCTCCGATCTTGAAATGTATTTGCATTAGTGTTCTGTGTGCCAGGATCTACTATATATACACTAGTGTCTTGTAAAATAAAGGGAATAAAACATACATTGCAAGTTGAAGATACATGTTCCACATGCTTGATAGTTGGCCACGACACTAGTCTATTTCAGTGCGATATGCCTTTCTCCATGAACCAGCGCTTGCTATTCTTACGCACAAACTGGGTTGAATTTTCTAGTTTTCACTGACTCTGGTATGTTGTTATTTCTTTCTCAGATAAAAGCCAAGAAAATCAGTGAAATTCATACAGAGGCAGAAATGAAACTTGGATTGCGACCTGGGTCGACCACAAACATGAGGAATGGACGAACTGGTACTGGAAGGCCACTCTCACCTGGAGCTTTCCCAATGAATGGACCTGGAACTGGTGGCATGATGCCTGGCATGCCTGGAGCGAGAAAGATGCCTGGAATGCCTGGGTTAGATGATGATAATTGGGAAGTTCCACGTTCTAAATCCAGAACTGACTCATTCTGCAGCCACACCCAGCTGGTGAATAAGCCATCGTCTGTCAATTCTAAACTACTTCCTCAAGGCAGTGCAGCACTAATTAGTGGGAAGACAAGTGCACTTGTGGGCAGTGGTGGTCCAATATCCCGTCCTTCAAGTTATTCTCCGGGACTTGCACCAGCTCCATCTGTAGCTCCTGTAGTTGTGAAGCCAGCTGCTGCTCCCGAGTCAAACTCTGCTGGTCTAGAAAAGAAGACCATCTCTCTTCTTGAGGAATATTTTCACGTCTGTATTCTAGATGAAGCACAGCAGTGCATTGAGGAGCTCAAGAGTCCTCATTACTACCCAGAAGTTGTTAAAGAGGCCATCAATCTTGCTCTTGACAAAGGTGCCAGTTCCATCGATCCTCTTGTTAGGCTACTGGAATACCTTCGCAACAAGAATACTTTCAAGACGGCAGACTTGGAAACTGGATGCTTGCTTTATGGTTCTCTTCTGGATGATCTTGCTATCGACCTACCGAAAGCTCCAGCACACTTTGGTGAAGTTATTGGGCGGCTAATCATGTCACGTTGTCTGGGTATTGGAGTTCTTGAGGATACGCTAAAGAAAATGGAGGATACCTTCTTCCGCTCAGCGGTTTTCAAAGCTGCAGTGAAGACCATTGGCGCAAATCCATCGGGTCAGGCAATCTTGAGCTCACATGTTACTGAAATGGATGCTTGCAACAATCTTTTATCCTTGAAATAAATGGCATAAAACTTATCTCAGATAGTTGTTCATCTAGTTTCACCTTGAGGAAATTACAATGCCAGTATTGAGAAACAACCATTTGTTAGCTGTATATTTTTTTAGAAGTCATATGTGAGCTTATTGTTTGGACAGTGACGAAATGAAACTTAGGTAAGCCACAAATTTTGCTCGCTTGTAACGGTAGTTTTTTTTTTTTTTTTTACTTCTGTTGCCTGAGATGAAAGGCTTTAACCTGATCCTATTTGTCTTATTAATGTCATTACTATTTTTTTGTGCTCCCAAATTGTGTAACCTGTATTGTATTTTGGGAAGTATTCTTTGGGATACAACTACGTTGAGTACGTGAAATGTTGACATGGTACACTACGATTCTTGTCTGATGACACCTTTTGTTTTACCCCTCTGATATCCTTCGAATTGGGGTTTGCTGAAGTTAGCTCGTCCGTACACGAGTGTAAACTAGCAGGATCACAAATTGTCCTGGGGGAAGCAGGAAGATGGTGTGGCCAAGTGGTACACCATAGTCAAATAGGCAACCTAAGGGGAAACAGTTACCTATTATGACCTGTGGGGAAACTACCATTACGAGATGGCATTACCCAAACCAATTGGGTGTCTCAACAGATTGGCTGTTGATGTTATCAACGTAAAGATCCTTAACTTTACTCTGATGCGTATTGAACTTTGAGAACCTCAATTCTGGTCTCATTCTGAAAATTGCATCGGTGCAATAGATAGGAACTGCGTTCCAAGTTGTCAAAATCTGCGATTTTATCATACGATTTTATATATCTTTATGATCTTAAATAAGGGGTCTGATTCTATGATTCTAGCTAATAGAACCTATGTTTATACAATTTTTAGTAATTACTCCCTCCATTCCAAATTACAAGTCATTTCAAAAATTTTAGAAAGTCAAAGCATCTCAGGTTTGACCAAAATTATATAAAAAACTACAATTAAGGCCCGTGACTGTTATGGTCAATTTGAACGTACGAAATGCATGTATGGTATATTAATAATATTATGGATGACATGAAAGTCTAGTACCTTCTTGCTCTAAGGTGTTACTGTGTTGAACTGCTACACTGGCCCCATGGGTGATATTTGTCCATGGAAAAACTCACGGGACTAGTAGGGTGGGTTCTCCGGGGCGACCGGGTTAGCTCAGGCATCATGCGTGCAAGTTCGGGAACGGTGGCTTTAGTACAAACCTATTGGGGAGCGTGCGACTTTATGATTTGCCTAGCTAGATGTACATCAATTCGAATCGCGACACTTCTAGGTTATGGATTACACTTGCCATATTGCTAATTTCGTAGTAGTGTCTGGAACATAATGATGGATGGGATGGGGAAAAAAAGGGTGGAGATTGATATTTTGATAACTTACCACTTGAAAGTAGCTCAAGATGTTTATCTAGAATGGTAAGTAATAAACTTAATATGACTACTAAAACTTGAATATAAGGATGAACCTTTAGTAAGTTTTTCTGCAAGACAAATAAACAAGATTACCAAATAGCCTCAACATACCCTTTAAAGTTGGGAAGATATTCCCACCTAGTTAGGTAAGTCTTGCGGAGTACATTATGTACTCAGGGTTTTATTTTTCAATGTTGTCGCAGATGATCACATGGAGGCCTGAGCGGGTCTTCACCACTTACCATGTGTACTCGTGTGGAAAGCTTTGGGCACTTCAGTTGCGTCGTTGTGTGTACGGGTCTCTCCTGGTGGGCACAACGAGAATCCCGTATATATCGTCCTTCAAAGTGTATTTCTGTTTTAACATGTGAACTTGTAGTTGATTTAGGTATTCGTCCTCTGTGTTAAGTCATTACCTTATTTATTTTCGCTTTAAACTCTAAACCTACTTTGTAATAACTATTTGGATCATGTTGTGATGAAATGTCATGTATGAAATGCTTAATGATGTTGTAAGTTTTATTACTCATTTTTTTGATCCTGTATTAAATGTGGATAGTTTTGAGTTGCCCACCATAGTGGGCTCGACAGACTACCAGGTTTAAGGCAGTCTCTTACGTACTTAGTGTCTAAGTGTCTAATAGTGGACAAGTAAACTCATGATTAAATTAAATTTGGCGGTTCTACCACATATATCTAAATAAAGATAATCACAATAAATAGGAAAGGCTATTTATCACGATAGAGGAACTCACAAACAAAGAAAGTAAAAACTAAAATTACATACAAATATAAAATGAAACTTAAGTATTAGTGATGATACAGAAGACAAGAACTTCACTCAAAGTTGAGTTGCATCCTTGAGGTATAAAGTGGATGAGAAGCAGCTGATAGCTACGGATTCTCCCTGGCACTCTCGCCTTTCCTCTAGGCCTACTTTCTTGGGCCTTAGCCTATCCATGTTTCTTCTTTTTCGTGGTTAGAATGGTGACCCCACGGGATATATTTATCATAGCCATAGGTCTGTTCATAGCTGGAGTATTTGTAAGCAAGGATGGAATGGAGTGACGCAAAAGTTTAGCCTCATTAATGCCACTGAGGTCAGCTAGATTGAGATCTTCACCATGTTTCATCTCCTTTGGCATGAATACTCCTGATTGTTTACTTATTAGGTTGGTAGCAATGATGATTAATCTGATGGAATACACCGGTATGGGGTTGACTGTCTCCTTCGAGTCCTCTCGAATTGTTAGATTCACGGCAACATATCATGTGCAAACTTGAAAATTACCGATCAGAACCACTAGATGCTGATCCAATAGATGGGTTGAGGGTGCTTAAGCGCAAAAAAAGGGCCGACGGGTGAGGGGCTTAAGCGCAAAAAAATCTCACATCTCACCTCATCCATTGGATCAGTATCTAGTGGTCCTGATTGGTAGTTTTCAAGTTTGCACAGATTGCTTGGTTTGCACCTGATACGTTGCCTAGATTCACTGCCTCAACTTGTTAAATTGCTTGGATCATATTGTTATGCCAATCATGTGGCTCCTAGGTACTCTCTCCATTTCAGATTGTAAGTTGTTCTAGCTTTTTTAGATGCATAGTTTTATTTTGTATCTAGACATAATGTATATCTAGGCGCATAACAAAAGCTATGTATCTAGAAAATATAGAATGACCTATAATTTAGAACGGAGGAGGAGGGGGAGTAGATCACATGTTGGATTAGGGTTGAGTGGGTGACCCAAATGAAATCTAGCATTTATATTGTTGACCTATCATGTCTCAAGTGCTTGCAGTTTCAAAGGGTGAACCAAATGAAGACCGGTCGCTCTAGGACTTCATGATTTTCAGCCCAATTTTGCTTACACAAGTAAATAAAATTGCACATCAAATGAGTTGTTACATGTTTTTTGACGCTAGTCATGTAATGACCGGTATTGGCCGAAGTGGCCGATATTGCCTAGCAAGTGATGTAACTATCCTGAATGAATAAAGTATACCGAATTATTTTAAAAAAAACTATAGTATTTTTTCCTTTCAAAAAAACTATAGTATCTTTTTATAACAATATTAACTATAGTTTTGGCACGTCTCGAGGCTAGAACGGGATGTAAGTACTCATGCACCGATCTATAGACCTAGCTATCAGTATAATTGGCCATTTTGGTTGATACCGGGATGATATTAATTTGCTTGGATGGAAGAACCTAGTTCACCGCCAACAAACAGAGTTGAGCCATTAGTTCTTTTTTTAAAGGTCACCGGGGATGAACTATCCCCACATGAATTTTTATTTCACAGATGTCGGGCAAGCCAGGAGGTGGAAGGGCGTGGCGCCAATCCAGATACAATAAGTCCAGAAGTACAATGGAGGGAGTGAGAGATTACAACAGCAACAACAACAACAACCCAACAACAACAAGTTAACAGAGACATTAAGAAGAACCAACACGAGGACTCAAGGATAAGCCTAGACACAAGCCGAAGGACGCCGATTTGTGCCACCGCCGAACAACATACTCGTCGGTTATGCCGTGACCATTGTGCCCTGCACCACTCCTCGTAGCTACGCCGCTCCGCTGCCGTTCTCCATCTGAGGACCAACAGTGGAATGGGGACTAAGAGTGGTGACGGACATGCAAGCCCAAGATCACCGGACACGACGACCTCCCTTGAAGTTGATGGTGACACCTATAGCACTTCCAGGCCCACGTATCACCATTCAACGCCATCCACGGGGAGGAAACCATGGATGGGAATGGCGGCAGCGGTGGAAACACCACCCGGCATTAGATTTTCTGGCACCATCAAGGAGAGCGCCAACGGAGCAGAAACGCTAGAGGAGGACACTCGTCGAAACATCGGCAACGACCGACAGCCAGGGCTAGTCTCACCCAAGAGGGAACAAGGAGCAAGGAGGCACAAAGGGAGGGAGAGCACAAGGTCGTGCCGGGCTCGGCAAGGGGCAGGCGTGCTTGTGTCGATGCCTTCAAGAAGAGAAATGACGTCCACGGATGCCATCATCGATGACCGAAGCACCAGGCTTGTAAGGGCTTTCGCCCTGAGACCCGCAGACGACGAGTTAAAGCCGGAGCTTTTGAGGCAGGGCAAGGAAGCTTGAGCGCTCCAGTGATGCCTTTAGGAAGGGGACTGACATCCGCAGACCGCCATCATCATTGTATGAGCACTCAAGAAGGATTTTCATCTCAGAAGATGTTGCCCGCGCACCCAGGGGCTCCGGCCGCGACGGGCAGCCACCGCATCCGTTCGTCCGTCGAACCCACCGACCCAGGAGGCGCCGGATCTGGGGTGGGGCCGCTGGATCTGGCAGTAGCACCAAGACGTGCCAGCGTGCCCATAGCGCCCAACCGCCCGGTCGTAGCCGCCATAGTAGGCGCGCGGGGGGTGGCCGCGGAGCTGGTCGCTCGGGCGGTGCCGCAGCAGGCAGCGCGTGCGAGGACGGGCCAGCCGCGGGTCCCCAAATGACAGCGCGCACGAGCGCCTGCCGCGCGCGCGCCCTTCCTTGGTCACCTCGGCGGCGGCCGCCGCCGCAACACTAGCAAAACGCGG